TTCACTCCTGTCCTGTGGACACCCAGTATCCCTCTTTAGAGACAACAATAGTCTCTCTTTTTTGTGCATCTTTCCATAAATATTTTATGTAAGTATGCAAAATGTATGTGTGTGTGTGTGTGTGTGTGTAGCTTTTCCCATATTTCCCAATGGATGCATATTATAATGTAGTAGCATGGTTAGGAGTATAGATTGTAAACCAGGCTGCCCGGGTTCAAATCCCAGTTCCACTGTCTGCATGGCCCTGAAGCAAATTACTCAGCCTCTGTCTGCTTCAGTTTCCCCATCTGTAACATGGGGATTACTGCTAGATGAATTAATATTTTAAAGCTCTTAAAACTGCATCTGGAACATAATAAGAAGCATAAACTCATTTGTTAAATAAATAGTAAAAGAAAAAAGTAGAAGGAAGGAAAGAACGAAGGAACTGTCCAGCTATACTTTGTTTTTTAGAACAAAATACCTTGGAACTGATTCCTCATTCTTTTACAGCTTCGTGGATTGTGTGGATAGGACACTGGATGTTTACCAGTCCCCTGGTGATGAATAGATTGTCCACTCTTGCCACTACAGTCCCCTCTGCCATGAGTAACCTTGTGTGTAGTCATACGTGTGTGAATATGTCAGTAGGATGAATACGTAAGAGTGGGATTGCTGGGTCACAGAGTATGTGCCTTCGTAATGTTGATAGCAATTGCCACATTGCCTCCATGGAATTGATACCTATTTACCCTCTTAACCAACAATGTGGGGAAACAGCTTGTTTCTAAGACTCATGAACATGGTACTAATAAACTTTTTGATCTTTGCCCAAATGATAAATAATAATGGTATCTTGATGTAGTTTTAATTCGCATTCCTCTTTAAGATGAGGGAGAGTATCTTTTCATGTGTTTCAAAGCTCTTCCTATTTCCTTTTCTATGAACTATCTGTTCTTATGTTTTCCCCATTTTTGTAATGGGTTATTATTTATTTATTCCTTACTGATTTATTATTTATTCCCTACTGATTTCTAGGACTTTTTTCCATATTAAGGAAACTTGCTCTTTGTGATTCGAGTTACGGTTGTCTTCCCCAATATTCCACTTGCCTTTTTACTTTACTTGTAGTGATTTTACTAGACAGAGTTTTCTTGTGTGCATATAGTCTAATGTATCAGAAGATTATTTTTCTGTAATCTTCTGGGCGTTGCATCTAGAATAGCCTTCACTACTCTTCCATGATAAAAGAAATCTCCCAAGGTTCCAGAGTGTCTTTGAGTACTTTTATGGTTTTATTTATTTATTTTTTTCAACATTTAAATATTTGAGCTACTTGCCATTTATCCTGGTAGTCATATGAGTGGTGGAACTGGTCAATACTTCTCAGTCCCCACTGGGCTGTCCCTGCATTCCTGATTTCCTTTCAGCCTGAGTCTTAATTCTGCACACTTCCACCCCTTGCTGCTGCAGACTCTGTCCTGCGGCTTTCTTCAGTTGCACCAGCACAGGCTGCACTGACTTCCTCATGCCTAAGCCCAGGGACATTTTCTGAAAGCTCCTCAGCAGCCTGTGTGGTGTCCAGTCACATGCTCTTTCCAGGGCAATTCCCGTATCCCCAAAGATCATACTCGTTTGTCCTTGGCCCTCCTCCCCATCTCCGGCCTCCCGGCTGAAGAGCCTAGAATGAACCTGGAATGATTCTCTCTAGCTGAGGCCCTGGGAGAGGCAGCTTGTTCCCACGTCTTTGCAGGTTCCGGATGCCAGCCATTCTGCCCAGCCTCCCCACTCAGCCCCATCCGTGTCTTTCTAAGGCGCCGTGTGATCATATTATCTCCACCACGTTCACTGCCATTAAAGGGATGAATAAAAAGCCTTTCTGTTTTCTCAAAGCCCTCTTTCGTCTTGAATTTTCCCATTACAGGTAGGACAACACCTCCTACCTGATTCCTCTCCCACTGCCCAGGTGAGTGCTAGCGTATTCTGTCTTCGCTCTTCTTCAGTCTCTCCAAAGCTAGCCCCTCCAGACCCCCACACCAGCCAGTTGCCTGCCACTTACTTTGATGCCTGTGGGGCCCACATTTCCCTTCATCGGGTTAGAAACCTCTTTAGTCATATCCAGTGTCACCCAAAGCATCTCTGGTTTTAGTCTCCCAACTGGGACTTCCACCAAGGGAGGCTCTCAGGGGCCCACAGCTGCCCTAAGCCTCCCAGCGCTCGAGCTTGGATCTTTCTGGCACTCTCATTGCCCCTGAGCATCCTCAGGGGGCCTGGCCTGGAGCGGCCAGCCAGTCAGTGGACACACCTGTGACATCAGACCCCTTTCTCTGCACAGCTGAGGGAAATGGCATCCTCCTTTCAGCATCCACCAAATGCCCCTTTTTTCATGGCGCTCTCAACCTTCCCCTTCAGAAAGCCTTTTTGTGGTGTCAGTTTATAAACCACCACTTGAGAGCTTGCACCCCCCAACCTCCCTTATGAATTGTTTCTGACTAACGGTGTAAGGGTCTCAGCAGATGTACAGGTCGCAGCTCTGTGGGTCCATCTCGTCATAACCTCGCTCGCTATTATCAAACTAACCTGCATCATCACTGATCCTTAACCCTGCAAAGTTAGGCTTAAAAATAACTCCCAGCCGTGTCACTAAGTAAAAACACAAATTGCAGAACAGCATGTAGGTGTGATACCATTGACAAATGTGTACAGGCCGGGCACCGTGGCTCACACCTGTAATCCTAGCACTGTGGGAGGCCGAGGCCGGAGGACTGCTTGAGCTCAGGAGTTCAAGACCAACCTGAGCAAGGGCGAGGTCCCATCTCTACTAAAAATAGAAAGATTAGCCAGGTATCGTGCCTCATGCCTGTAGTCCCAGCTGCTCGGGAGGCTGAGGCAGGAGGATCGCTTAAGCCCAGGAGTTTGAGGCTGCAGTGAGCTAGGCTGACGCCACGGCACTCCAGCCCGGTGACAGAGCAAGACACTCTGTCTCAAAAAAAACATGTACAAATCCACATACTTTATTTCCTCCATGGGCAAATATGTAAATATATAGAAAAAGCCCTGGAAAAAGACACACCACTGATGACAGCGGTTGCCTGGGAGGGAACATGGGGAGGTAGTGGGTCTGGCAGGAGTACTCAAGGGGCATTTGCAACTTACTGACTGTCCGAACTGTTTTACAGTGAAAAATACATTTGGTAGATATTTTTAAATTTTTACTTGAGGGAAAAAAGTTCATTGGAGTTGAACTGGCAAATGACAGTTAGTGTTTTTAATATTTAAGAAAAAGACAGCAAAACTTGAGTTCCTAAAAGGGGAAATGAATAGAAAATGTAAAGACTATGGGAATGTATAAGTGGGCAGTGCCCGGAAGCATATGCCTTAGAAATCAGACATGCCTCCCACACACACACACAGGCGTCCTCTGTACCTGGGCTTTCGCCAGAGCGCTCACCTTCCAGGATTTTCTAACAGAAAATCAATCTTTACAAACATGCAGTTATAGAAAAAAATGACATAAAATTGCATGTTTTAAGGTAAATCTGAAGTACTTCTTTGCCTCCCACTTGGAAGTTTTAGGCAGTTTGATTTCTTACTGTTTCTACAACACCCAAAGTGGCAATTCTCAAAGAGGAGGGAGCCCAAACCCACACCACACCTGCCCACACACCTGCAGAGAAGGAATGGATGAGGAGCCGCAGTGGCTGGCGGGAGTGCCATATCCCTCGGCCATGCAGGGCAGCAATCATGCTAAGACCGTTTACCTCGAAGTTCAGCTTAAGCATTAAATAGTAACTGTACAAAAAAAAAAATTTTGTTGATATAAAACAGCCGCACACCCACACGTGAAAAACTATCTTCAGAGTAAAGCCACTCCCCCACAAAAGAGCCCCACCATTTTTGTGGTTAATTTGGTGTTCTCTTTGCTATACAGTAATAGTCTTGACACATAGAGCCAGAATGCTAGGTTCAAATCCCAGCTCCATTTCCTGCATGTGTGACCTTGGGCAAGTTACTAAACCTCTCTGGCCCTCAGCCTCCCCATCTGTAAGTGGGGTGGTCATGGTCCTCCCTTGCAGACTTGCTGCAGGTAGTAACTGCGCTAGCACACTACGGCCATCTGAATAGTGCCTGGTAGGCAGGCAATCCCTTAAATAAAGCTTGGCTAGTATTATGATTTGAATTGTGTCAACATGCAGCTTTAAGAAATCAAATGATTATCCAAGACGCCCTAATTTGATGACTGTACTGCAGTTTGAACAGGACACATATGCTCCTTGAGACAGGCCTTCCAGTCTTCTCGGGAAGTTCCTTTCTGAGCCCAGACAGCATGTGTTACTGAGGGCTGGCTGGGTGGCCCTGATTTGGCAGATGGCCATGTGTCCTGAGGACAGAGCTTCCTTCCTGAGAATCAGGCTGTCGTGGGCACACTGTCAGCCTGGTGCCCCTACACTAAAATCAGTGGAAAAATCAGGGCCCCTTCAGTAGGGCTCAGATTTATTCCCCTTTGGGATTTGGTCTTTCTTTGAAGAACTCCGGGATTTAATCAACGCAGTAGAGAGCCATCTCCCTGGGGTCGCTTATAAAGTAATAACAGAGATAAGATCTAGAAGCACCACTTGTGGTCCTCACTGGCATGAGATGGTTTGAACCAAAATAAAAAAAAGTAAATGAAAAGCTGTGTCTTGTACACAGTGTGAACTCTGACTTAAAAAAAAAAAAAAAAACCAAAAAAACAGATTTTCATTTTAACAGCTCTTTATTCACTGGTATTGGCATCTAAAATAGCTTTTGGAACAATTTTGTTAAAAGTGGTAAAATGGTGACTGCCTCTTTTGCCATGGAATTATATCTTGTGTATTTTGGGGAGCTCAGTCAAACAAGCCGAAGCACCTCCCTGGCCGCACAAAGTCTCTGGGCTGCGGGAGGAGTGAGGAGGAGCTGTCGTTGGGATCTGGGCTCAGAAGGACGGCTGTCCTTTGGCCAATGCACATTAACCCCGCTCCTTTGGGTCTGTGTTGCAGGGATCATGTACCGCAAGTCGTGTGCGTCATCAGCGGCCTGTCTCATCGCCTCTGCCGGATACCAGTCCTTCTGCTCCCCAGGAAAACTGAACTCAGTGTGCATCAGCTGCTGCAACACCCCTCTTTGCAACGGGCCAAGGCCCAAGAAAAGGGGCAGCTCTGCCTCGGCCCTCAGGCCAGGGTTCCCCACCACCGTCCTGCTCCTCAAATTAGGCCTCTTCTTGGCGCACTGCTGAAGCCGAAGGAGATGCCACCCCCTCCCGCATTGTTCTTCCAGCCCTTGCTCCCCCACCTCCCCGAGTTTCTTCTGGGTGTCCTTTTATTCTGGGTAGGGAGGGGAGTGTGTGTTCTCTTTTCGTTCCTTTGCAAATAATGAAAGAGCTCCACGTAAAAGCATTTTTGTAAGCTCTGAATAAATTCAGTCTGACTGAATTTTCAGCGTGTATACTTGAAGGACGGAGACAGAGTAAAAGTTCACCCCCCTGTGGTGTAACCAGAGTCAAGGCCAGGTTGGCAGAACCAGCCCTTAGAAGTCACTAAGGTGGCACCTGCCCTTCCCAAAGCCTCTAGCTCCCATCCTGTCCCTGGCGGGGGGCACAGTTTCCTTTGTGACCGCTGTGTGAGGGTCGTGCTGCTTCAGTGCGGGCAGGGCGGGTTCCCGCTCAAAGCCTCCTTCCTCCACATTCAAACTTCTTGCTCCTGAAAACCGTTCTCTGGGGCAGAGTTGGCCGGTTTCGTCTCCGAGCTGGGATCTGGCGAATCGAGGCCCAGTTGCTGGGGCTTGGACTCCGGTTTGGCCTCGCTCTGAAACGTGCTTAGGAAAACCTTGTCAGTTCTCCTGGCGGAGGAGCGGCGCAGGGAGGCGGCGAAGATGAGCGGGCGGCGGGCGGAGCGCGCGCCGGGGCCGCTGGAGGCGCTGGAGCTGGCGAGCGCGCGCAGGCGCCTCTCGTGGTTGGCGTGCGGCAGCGCCAGGCGGCAGCGCAGCACCTGCGCGAACACCCTGCGGAACTGCTGCGACGACACGTTGTACAGCAGCGGGTTGATGACCGAGCTGAGGTAGAAGAACGTGTCCGAGAAGGGGAGGAGGATCATGTACGCCCGGAAGTAGGCCTGCGTCCAGTCGTGCTTGGGTTTGGCCGCAGCCATGATCCTCCGAATCTGGTTGGGCATCCAGCAAACGGCCAAGGTCACAACGATCAGCCCTGGGCGGGCGAGAGCGGGAGAGAGAGAAACAAAACACAACAACGCAGCATGAGAACAAAGTAAACAAATAAGTAAAAACCATACAATATGTAGCCCCTCGGTTCTGTGCTTATTGGCCAGAAATGGTACCAATTTTTCAATGTTGTGTTTGACAGCTGCTTTTGCCACTAGCAAAAGAGAACTGAACACTGTTTCAAACCCGGGGAGAGTTGGCTGTATTAAAGACCATTAAATGCTTCAGACGGTGTGTTTATACCTGTTGATGTCTGTTAATTTAAAAAGAAAAAGTTTTCATTGATGTTTGTGTATCTGGAAAGCATTTTATGTTGCCCATAAATCTGGTTTTGTCTTTTTGTTTTAAAGAAATAGATGTATACATACAGTATAGCCATATTAGATGAAACTGTATTTTAAAAAATGCACAAAGAAGACCCAGTGATATTCTTAAGTCAAATGGAAGTCATGCCCCTTTGGTATCAAAGAAGCATATTTAATGACACTGATTTTGCATTTGATTTCAGGGGAAGCAATATCAGGAATAGCCTGTCACTGAGAATGGGTTTTTTTGGACATACCTGTGCTAGATGTGCACACCTATAATCATGATGCTCATATCTGCAGCAGCACCTGTTTCTTTTCACACACTTTTAGATACGTCATCTCTTCCACCATCACGTGGGAAGAAAAATTACCCCCAAACAATGGCAAATATAAGACTTCAGGTTCAGCCAGGAATGTGCTCACTGCCTTTGCTGCACTGAGCTTCAGTGTCAGCAGGGCCTAGAGAAGAGACACCTTTCGGTGTCCCTCCATGTGGATCGAATGTTCACTATATGTACTTTTGTTTGCATGCCTGCTATGCGCATTCCAGCTTATATAATCATCACCATTTCTACAGTTCTGACAGAGAAAAAGATGCTATGTAGCTTACAAACAAGTGAAATCACAGGCATCATAAAAGTTTATCTACAGTGACCAAAAACAAAAAAGAAGAAAAAAGGAAAACCAGGGAATCTGCAGAGCATTTGCTCTCTCTTTCCTTGAGAAGCCAAGACATCAGGGTGTAAGTTCCTATGTAGAAAGCTGATATCTTAATGCAGTATTCATATTCTCAGAAAGCCTTCCTCCTGTTCCTTAATTTGAATCATAAGATAATAATGAGAATTCATTCACATTTGCAAACCTTCTGATTTTCCAGGAAACTACAGGGAAGCGATGGTTGGTGATGATTGCTTCCTGCCTATGATCAATGGTAAATATTTCATTAATAAATGCTCCAGGAAAAACAGCCATGTTCACACATCCCAAGTTGGGCTTCCTGCACACACTGGCCTGAGCATCCCTTGCCTGGTGGCAGAGGGACCCTGGGTGTATTCTCTGTACCTTAAATAACTCAGCTACCCCAACAACAAATCTTCTACAAACCCCATATGTCAGCAAGGAGGGCGCTGGAAACTCATCTCCCTTGTTGATTTTCAAGGGTTCCTCCTGCCAAACCTCAGCCCAAGCTTTGAAATTGCAAACCAATTTGCTTATGTCTTTCCTTTGAATTTGCTATCCTGAGAATACTCAGTAAATCTAAAAATAAAATAGGCAAAGTAACATATCGATCTGATGAAAAGACAAAAAATACCACCTTAAGTCAAGAGTATATTCTGAATCACCCAGTTATAGCTGCTGGATGGGAACAACAACAAAAAAATCAACACTTTTCTGATTTTTTAAAAAAATATGCATAGGAATTCAGGACCTTTTTATTCACTGCTTTGAGGAGTGTAGGTGCTTCCAGCCACCTGTGATGTTCCACATTCTTTCTTAAGCTCCTGCTCCTTGCTTCCCTTTTCATGCAACTCTGACTGAGCGGTCCATCTCATTAGTTGTGAAGGAGCTAGGCAGCATACCATACCTGGGGAAGCTACGCATCTTCACAAAGTTTTACATTTTTCCCCCTCTTCCCTGTCACTGAATTTTAGAGAACAAGTACCACCATCTTCATCTGAGAACTTACCTCCCAGAATATGAAAATTGAGCGCACAGCTTTAGAAGTGCGCTATGCTACACGGCAGGAGGTTGTACTTCAGGTGGTGAGAATCCAGAAAGGCGATGAGAAGCACTTTGTACTTACCACGAGCCGAACATCACACGGCTTTTAAAGCCAACAGGCAAAGGCAATGAGAAGAGAAGGCGTGTGTGCGGTGCAAGGGGAGAGAAGTAACAAAATTGCTTTTCTTCTGTCCTGTCTTTGCTCCTTGTTCTCCTGATCTCCTGTTTACTGACCCTTATTCTTCTGTTAGCTTTCCACATGCACTTGCCTGGTGTCAATTGCGTGATCAACTGATCATCCCATCAAAAGAGGCGGGGTTCAGTAAGAAGCAAGACCCAGCATCCAGGTAGGAGGCCAGGGACAGGGGCAGATAAAGCACTGTGGCATGGTTTGCAGTTTTAGCCAGGATGAAATTCTTGCTCTGAAATCAAAATGATCTAAAGTAACTAAATAGGAGGAAGCTCAGTCTGAATAAGTAGCAAAAAAGGGGGTATCAGACCAGAGATGCTCAAAGATAAAGGAAAAGAAGGGAAAATTCAGCTTTCTGGGTGTAAAAGTAGGTAGATATGATAGCAAATACAAACTTGAAGAGCAGGAGAGACAATGACCTGAATTAAAAATGGACCTAGATTAAAAAAATATGCATCTGACAGGTCTTGAGATATAACCTAGAGTAACGTAGAATATTTATCGAGTTTTCCCCATGCCAGTTTCTATGTTAAGCACTCTACTAATTTCCCATACATTTCTCACTCCTGACAATAACCTGGTAATAACTGTTTGGGTGAGGTCAAAATGGTTATTATCCTAATTTAACATGTGAAGAAGTTAGTTGCCCAAGTGCTATAGCTAGGATACATGCTTGTCAGATTCCAAAAGCCATGATATATATTTTTTCATCAAGACACAATATAGGCTATTTCTCATATTTTCACTTATGAAAAATATGAAACCACAAGAAAGTAAACGTTAACCATAATTCTACCATGTAAAATGGATACGGAGCAGTGCTGTCCACTGGAAATATATCATGTAAGCCATACGTAATTTAAAAATTTCAAGTTGCCACATTCAAAAAGCAAAAATAGCAAGTGAAGTCAATTTAATAATGTTATTTAATCTAATATACCCCAAATATTATCATTTCACATGTAATTTCAACATGTAATCAATATAAAAATTATTGATGAGATGGTTCCTTTTTTCATACTTAGTTTGCAAAACCCAATGTGACTTTTACAGTACATTTCATTGGTACCAGATACATGTGGCTAGTGGCTACAGTACTGGACAGCACTGATTAAAATAGTCCTTCCTAGCCCCTCCTCAAAGTAGCAGACCTCCCTATTTCCTCCTCTTCCCATTCCCCCATCTGTCCCTTCCCCAGCTACACACCCATGTCACACCAAGGGAGCCCCAAGGAATCTGCCGTACAGCCTGTGTCTATCGTATCACAGCGCAATCAGTGCGGAATCCTGATTCTGTTTCCGAGTATGCATTCTTGCCCTGCTGTAGAACAGGTTTATCCCATCTTGTCATACGGAGCCTTCCATATAAGGGAACCCCACATTACTTAAAACCTAAATAATTCTGAAGCACAAGGGTGTATTTTGCATTTTTTATTCTCAATTTTGCCTTCCCATCCTGGAATAATACATATTATGCCAACTACCTTGCAGGGCTGTTGGAATATACATAGCTCAACTGGAGGTGGGAAAAATGGCTGGTGCTTTTCTTCCTGTGTTTTGAAAGATGTTTTTGTTCTAGGAAGAGGGAGTTTAGGCATACAGGTACAGCCAATGAAAAATGTGAGGCATGTGCCTGTGAGCAGTATAATAGAGGTTAGTCTCTTGAAATTTAGTCATTGTAAATTTAGTCATTTTATAATGACAGCTAATGCTTACATCTGAAAAAAACGTTTGTTATTTTAGATATTGCACTGCTGAGAATAAACACCATGTCCAAAGGTAACTTTCTATTCAGGCTGTTTGCAATTGGTTTGATTCTAGTCTCAGCTACTCCGTCGCTAAGACAAAGTTTTAAAGTCTTATTCATGCCTTAATAGAGTATATTAAAGATTTGACTAAATTTACGTTTGGCTGCAATCAATTTGGACTTGTATATTACATTTGGAAAAAATCGATAATGCTTTGGTCTGTGTGATATAATATGCAGCCTGCAGTTAAATAACTTTAGTGTGAACTTGAATGAAGATCAGTGAACAGAACCCACTCATGTAAAGCAGGTAAACTGTTTTAACTGAATTATTGATAGATCTGTATAATACTGCAGACAGCCTTGCACTCTGGGTTATGAAATACTTTCATATCTTATCTGTTTTTCCACATAAAGTACTTTCATTTTTCCTCCTTGATCACCACACTAAAATGACAAGAGCCATTAGATGATGACACAGATTCATTCTTGGCAGAGTAATGTTTTTTAAAAAACAAGTAATGCAGATGTCTAACAACACCCTGCACTGAAGCCTGACATTTCAACAGAGTCAGCCTGCTTGGTTTAATCTTCAGAAGTGCATTAAGTTCTGCGGCCCGGGACGTGGCAGCATTGATATATCTGACACCGCGCTGTTTTCTTCCCTCTAACCTTTAAAATGAAAGTTAACTATTTGTGTGTTCCTCAGGATTCATCTTAGAGTCATCAGAGAGTGGGAGAGCAGGAAGAGACCTTGCCACTAGCTGCATAACTCCCTTGTCTTATAAATGAGGAAACTGAGGCTAAGTGGCTGGCCCACAATCTTCCAGGGTCCGGGTGGCAGGATTCCTTTACCCTGCCCTGCTGCTCAGAACACTAGATTCTATCCTAGATTGCCAAGTGAGGCTCTTACTATTTTTTACTGAGTTTGGGGGTTGATTTTCCAGTTTTAGGCTGTAGTGCCAACCATTCACAGCGTGGGATGCAATGAGAGGCAGGTCTGCACACCACCTTGTCTTCAGTTTTAGAACCAGGTCCCCCATGAACA